AAACAATGTCTCAGTTTCTCAGGTGCTGGCTTGGATAGCTTCTCCATGGTTTCTACAGTGACAGTTTTCAGGTAGAAACATCACTATTAAGGACAACAATATCCTACTGCAGCCTTTGTCCATGGTTTCTGTGTTGTTTACAGGAAACCTAGAGAATGTCAATTAATAGACAAAACAACAATAGTAAATGGTAGCATCCAGTGAAAGGAAGATTGCTGCTGCTTCAGGAAAAGAATATGCTTTTATTTATTGTGATAGGAGTCCTAGAAACCTTCGGAAAAAAAAAAAAAGATCAGAATTTGTCTTAACGTCCTCCCCAAGAAAGGATTCCCGGGGCTTCTCCAAGTTCTTCCCTTTCCTCTAAAGCTACTAGGATTACCTTACAGTAATCCCTGTGCAATAACCCCAGTAACAACACTGCAGCCTCAAGGTACTTGGGTGGAAAGCACTGAGTGGAAAGAAGCCTTCCCATAGTCAGAAACAGTTTTCACATATAGCAACATCCGTTCACTGGACATGCAATAACTAGCCTTTGTTTTGACTGTGCACGGGGAAAAAAAAAAAAAGCAATTGGTTTCACAAGACTCATAAAAACCACAATTGTAAAAGATCACAGAAAGCAGCATAAATAGTATTTTCATAATCAAGGTGTCAAGACTTAATGGAGTAAGTATAAATGACCTTTGATTATTTTTTTTGTTTTGACTAATAACAACTCCACCCCATTTCTAAGGTAAAAGATTGGAAAGCAAAAGTAAAATACAATGGATAAGTGTCTATAAAACTGGGTACTTTAAAAATGAACATAGTTATGTAACGGGACAAACAATAACTATATTTGATCAGCTTCTGCTATGCTAATATTATGGAAACATTTGACAAAGGGAATAAAATGAAGCTATATGATTCTGCCAAAATACAGAGATTTTCATAGGGATAAAATTGAAAAAATAATAAATGGCTAAAGAATAGGGTCAGTCCCTTTGTTGTGAATAAGTAGCAACGGGTGGGTGTCAAGTTGCAGGCCTCTTTAGACAAATGCCATTAATGATATTATCAGATTTGTCATGAGCATATTTCAGAGGTGATGTTAGGTAGAACTGTTGCATCTTAGTATCCCAACACTTTACTTACAACCACTTAACTCCACTTTCAACAAATTTTCCTTCTATACAGACTACAAAAAGGAGAAGTCCTGCTATCCCTAGGAAAATTAGAAAAACAAAACCATTAGAAGTTGACTTGAACAACCGTAATGTCTACAATGAAGTAGATTAGCTGTTTGACAGCAGCAGAATCAGATACGACTGCTCAAATCTTAGGTGATAAGTGCTGTTTAGTAATCCAAATGAAGTACGTTTTTCACCATGCAGATAAACATTTGTGTTTTAAGAGAGGACTCGCCTCTCAACCAGTATCATTCTAGTGCCTTTTACAAGTGTTAAATGTAATTACACCTCATCTGAAGTTATGGAAATGTACACTGTTCACTGTAAGATACTGAGCATATCCTGGTACACAATTCTGTCCACTGCAAGTTTATATTGTAACAGCATCCATGGCAATCCAGCCAGGAACATAGCCTTACTGTAGCACACGGTTTAAGGAACTGAAGTAAGTATCTCTCAGAAATACAGTAAAGAAACTGCAAAAAATGCATGGTTTAGATGACACTGAAGTTCAGCCTCTGTTCCTCTCTCATCCAGGAATTTAAGGTCTTGACCCTCTACAGACTGACAGTTGTACAGGGCTATGTATGGCTACAGTATTTTTCTGAAAAGTCAGTCCTGTCTCACCTCCTCCCCTTTCATGTTCCTGCCTTCTTGCCATCTCCCCTATGATACCTGGCCCAGGTGTTTATATATTCCCTAGCAGGGAGCTGTATGAGACTAAGACATAAATGGCAATAATTAAAGAAACCACCCATTTTTCATCCTAATCAATTTCTTCCATCCCCTGCTTGGCCACACAGCACAGAGAAGAGGACAACATAAGGAAAGGCCTGTGTGGAAGGCAGAGGATGAGACGGATGGAATAGGAAAACTGTGGGAGTGCTTTTTCAGCCACGGCCACTTTAGTGAATCACAGTGTTTGCCATGATCATTTCAGACCTCTCCAACCTTTAAAGCAGGTGGGGAACTCCTTTAGCTCGAGCAACTACTGAGGCTGAAGCGTAACAGAGTGACGGATCACGGTGAGGCATGCAGTTCTGACAGTCCCTTTGAATGCTGTTTTTGTTACACACCCTTGTTCTTCCGGTTCTTTTCCTGGTCCACAGGCTTTTACTGGTCTGAGCTGTGGCTTAGCACATGTGCAAGCACAGTCACTAAACCACATTCTCTGAAAGTACACAAATGGCCTCTGCCTTCATTTATCAAGCCCTTGTGACCTGCTATGTCCTTCCGCCACTAATAAAACCAAGCCTTTATGAATGCATGTGCCTTGTTTGGGCAGCTGCTGTTACAATCATCACTCTTGTAAACAGTTACCATACTGTGGTTCAGCTTACTTACTGCGGTAGGCATAGCAATAAAACCACCTCACTAACCCTGCTTCTACCAAAATCTTTCAGTCTTTGTGGAGTCCTCACCACAACAGCGTATGGTTGTTACACTTTGTAGCATGCTTATTGCAGCACATGCTGCAACAGAGAACTGTTATCCTTCATTCCTTTATAAAAAAAAATACACAGAGGATAGGTGAAAGGACTTAGAAAATTGTAATGGCCTTGAAGAGGAGATGCAAACTAAATTACATGGTCATTCTCTATGATAATACGGATTTTTCCACTCCAGTGCGTTTCATTTCTGACTACAACCTATTTCTGAAGGTGAAATTTTGACTATGCTGAGGTCAGTGGGAGCTCTGATACTGACTTCAACAGAGATAAAACTTCACTTTTACACTCTGAACACTCCCCTTTCCCGAGACAGTAAGAGCTTCTTATTAAACTGTGGTTCAACTTCACAAATCTCTTTGTTCTGTTCAGCTAAATGCACTCCTAAATCAACATTCTGGCTTTTAAAAGCACTGGCACAATTGAGTAGACACTGAGAGAGCTAAAATATGATTTCTTGCTCACTCTTAGACTCTCAGAATAGCCACATCATTCTCATACAAATGCTTAAAACTAAGTCCACTGAAGTCTGTTGAAAAAAATGGCGATCAGGCTATCAGGTGAATGATAGAGAACAGCAAAACACACACACACACACAAAACGTGGTCTCAGACCTCTTGTCAGGGCTTTACTCTTCTCCTTTGTGTAAAGATCTGGTCTAGTGGGAGCTGTGCCTACCCAGGGCAGGGGGGTTGGAACAAGATGATCTTTAAGGTCCCTTCCAACACAAACTGTTCTATGATTCTGTGATCAAACAGAAGGCACGTCTTTCTGTACAAGACAATACAATGGCTTATCTGCTAGAAGGCAACAGTTTATCCCCTAGAATTTCAAGGGCCCTACTCTGCACGAAGTCGCCACAATGAGTTTTATTTTTGGTCTAAATTTTAGCTTTAGAAAACCATGTATGTGTTCTGCTTTAAGGAAAAAAAAAAAACAAAACCTAACCCATACATTCCATCTCAGTGACATTTCAATTAAAACCACTTGTTTTCTTGTCTAGGGAAAGCATGCAAAGAAACAGAGATATACAGGCATAGTACACTATGCTGGCAGACACAACTAACTAACACTCCATGCAGAAAACAGGAGTTCCTGCAAGAGTAGATACTGAAAATCAGACATAAGTAGGTCAGCTGACATCCCTTCATCCTTAGTCTGGCTTCTCCCACCAAAGTTCAAGTTACTGTGGGCATGATGCACAGGGGAGAGGCAGGTTGGTGACAGTGCCTCAGCAACTGTCCTAAGAAGCTCAGGAATTCAGAGATGTTTTCCAAAGCATTGGTCTGTAAAGAAGCTATAGCATCTTCAATTAGAGCACTGCACTCTAACAAGCACTGATAATTCTCAACATGGGCACGCTGATTTTCAGTTACAAAATTTACCCTTAACTCCATGTTACTGAGAGACAAAATTTTCCTAAAATGGTGTGGGAGTCTGTTATTGAGGTCAACCCTGACCTATGCAGCCCCTCAAGCTGACTGCCAGTAACTCAAAACTGAGCAGGATACACTAAATGCTCCAGTAGGAGGTCAATGAAGGTAGCTTCAGTATTAATAAAGGGGAGACGGGATTTATTTGTCTTTTTAAACCAGAGCTGATCAAGGCAGGACAAAATGCATGGTTCTTTACAAATGAAAGAATATGAAAAAAAGCTCAGTAATTTAATTGCAAATATATTCCAATTATTTAAGCCATAAATCTAAAACCTTGTCCTGAAATGGAGCTCCAGCAGCTGTCGGACCTAATCCATTGACTTTAAACCACAGCTCTGCATGGTTATCAGGACAGCTAAGTGTATGAAACATAAGAAATCTTTGTTTCCTATGGTTTGCACCAAAGCTCTCAATATGGCGGGCAGGGAGAGCAGCAGCAACTGCAGCTGATTATGGATGTTTCCAAACTCAAACCAAGGGAACAGAAAGTCAAGATATTTGTACATGTGTCTTTTGAAGAATACAAAAGATTCCACAAATGTGAGAGTGATGACGATTTTGTAGGTCAAGGGCTTGGTGTACCAGTAGCCTCCAACTTGGCAAGTCATACTGTGCTTCAGCAGGATGCAGTTAGAAGGCATAGCCTATGCAGTTGGTGGTGGGGTCAGAAGTGTCTTGTTGTGCAATCTGTGCTTTCAAAATTCAGAGAAATTAATTATCCACGACATTGATTTATACGTTGGTTCTTGATTTGCAGGACTAATCTGATCTGATGGCTGAAGATACTTTTTTCCAGAGAACCACTCTGTTCTCCACCCTGCAACTTTATCATGTTCAACCTTATTATTTGATTAAAATGACCTATTATTATGCATAGGGGGAAAAATAGAGTATCTGCTAGATACATGCACGCCCCGCATCTCCCCCACCAAGCTAGAAACAATACCTGGAATGAGGTAATCATCCACAATCCAGAACGCTAAATCAGCAGTCTGGCAGGACTCACTTGGAGAAAAAATCCAGTGTTTTCTTTGACATCTATGATACCTGAAATATAACAAAACCAATTAAATGAAGTCAGAGACATGATATATCAAAAACTTAATACTGGAAAAATGCTGAGGATAGTAATTACAACCTCTGAGGACAGCCAACCTACTCTCCAACTGGGAAAACATGATAGAACTCATGGTACAACTTTTTATTGATGTAACAAGGATTGCTCACCTGGGGACAACATAGGACAGAAAAAATGTGCTGTCCTTTAATGCATTTTAGCAGATAGTAAGTAGCCAGGACCATACTGGCTAGCCCTGCACAGATGGTAACACACCATCACTAGAGGAGCAATGCACTAGCAAAATGCTCTAAGGAACAAAAGGCATCTAACACCGCAAACAAAACCTATTCACAAACTGATCTGGAAGGTGTGCTTGGGTAGTTTTTTAATTAGTCCCTGCCATAAGCACTTTATAAGCACAAGTACAGTATTTGATAACTTCACGGTTTGTGGTCAGAACAACTCTCATCCAGCACTAGCTCTGAGACCAGGTTTCTGTGTTCCCCTAAACCATTATGCAGTACTCTGCTTCTAACCATACCCAAAAAATTCACTGACAGAAATATAAGACCGAGCTCTTAACAGGTATAAAAAGAGAAAAACTTTCTTCACTGCAAGCTAAGGAACTGGCTTTTCAAACCAAGTTGCACACAGCTGTGGCCAGTAAATACCCAATACTACAGAAAGTAGAGAACAAAAAATCATTATTCATACAAAATGCAAAAATGACCATCAGGGAGGGTTAAGATGAGTTCTTTCCTGACCATTATAGCAAGCAGTTTGCTCTGAAGCAAAATAATTGAGTACTCCTTGTGGTCTGTGCAGCCACAGCTGCCAGCAAACAGGGAAAGCACAGCTGACAATCTCTGGAAAGTGCCATTTGAAGGACTCTGCTTTGAACTAGAGTGGCTCCCCACAGCCTGGCACTGCTCAGTATAGCTCTAACTAAAAGCCAATTGCTGATTTTAATCAAAAATTGACCGTGAAGCTAGCACAGTTTGAAGCTGGGAGTTGTCAGGGTGGCTAAGCTTCCTCCAACAGAACTAGTTTACGCAGCGTGTTTCCCACATCATAATTTCAGTAACTCCCCAAAAATTTCTGACCAAGACAAAAGAAAACCTGATAGCTTCCTGTTTCTACTTGTACCCTTGTGTGTAGCACATGCTTTGACTCAAAAGGACGGTCTCTGTCTTAGTCTCCAAACAGAGCGACACCATTACAAACTTTTATTTGCTAATATAACTAAAATGTCAGTAGGGAGGTTCTGTGGTGATGTTTCTTAATGAAGCCTTGAAACTTTAAGGTCACTTTCCACCATACCTCATCCCATGGCCTCAGATCTAAAGTACAGCTGGACAGAAGAGCTTTAAAGGGAACTGCTAAAAGGCAGCTACGTCCTGGCACTTTCCACTAAGAGACTATAGATGTTGAGGAACGTATGTTGCAGGAGAGGCTGTCTTATCAAAGACACATCCAAACCAACAGGCGCTTACAGTGGTTACAGCAGCAGAGGAATTCACAGCACCTCCAGTATTATCACTTGACAAATGTGTGTAAACCATAGACCAGTAGGATACTTATTCCCTCAAAATAAGATTTCATAAGACTCACACACGCGCATTACCCTTAAGACGTCATAAGCAGAGGTTGATTCAGAGCAATTATAGCAAAAAAAAAAAAACAAAAACCACCAACAATCCAGAAGATCATTGCATTGCAGAGAAGAAACAGGTTTTGTGACACCAGAAGCAGGAAAGTCAACAAAATGCGTGGAGAAGTCGTTGTGATAAACAGCCCTGCACAATCTGTCCACAGATGCTGAGTCTTCTGTCTTACTCTTTTAACAGCTCACTCCCAATTTGAGAATCTGAATATACAGCACTTCATTATCCATTCATATTCTGCTGCTAGAAAACTGACTTAAAAGTATTTCCATGAGGGCTGTGAGGTACAGTTTTTGCAAATAATTTGGAGAACCTAACGTAAATCATAATTTTTACATTCAAGTTACTTGTATGTAGCTGAAGAAAAGCAACACCAAAGAATATCCTCCCAAAATCTCACTTATTGCTTGGCCTTAGAAGGTGATTAGCACCTGAAGTTTCTACCCCGCCCCAGCCCTCCCCTCTCTTTTTACCTATTTATCCGGACCATGGACTAGATACCATACACCCTGGCTCACATCACAGTAGAAACAAGAGTATCTGTTATATTGTTGAATGTCTCCATGCCCAGGTTCTGTATCTCTTTCCTTCTCCTACTTCCTACCAAAAGCACACATCCTGCAACATCAGAAGATAATGACATTGAGATTTTTTTTTCACCATACATTTAGCACTTTTAGTACATTACTTTCTTATATTTATGTTAACATATTAATTTATCCATTAGAATTTTACAGAATCTTTAACAATACTGAGAATGCTGGTAATGTTCACACAAATTTTAGCACTTGTAACTTAGCCCTAAATTGGCATTAAGCCAAAACAGCCTTAGAGCTACTCCCCTTTAGGATGCTTTCATCATTCTGGTGACTACATAAATACATGGTTAGGAAATTGCATTGCTACCTTGCTATTCTTTATCCCATTTCGATCACATCTTTTGCCACCCGTGCATTCCATACATTATGGTTTTAATCCAGTCCCAAATTATTTGAGTAAACCCAGCCATATCACACACAATATCTGCTATTAGAGAGGCAGATGCCATCGTAACTTTTGAAGCAGCAATCACCACAGATCGCAAGAGTAATCCCAAATAATAATACTCTGAAAAACATGCCACTCAGGTGACTAACTGAGAAGACTGAATCCCTATCCTAACACAGCAGGGACAGAAGACTATGTTTTCTTTAAAGAAATGAGTAAGAACCCAGGGTGGAAAGCCACAAAACAAGTTTCTAAGCGAGCAGTTTTTTAAGGGAGTTACTGTCTTGCAGGCCACTACTCTGGCTCCAGCAAGACTTGAAACTTAGATTATAGGTATTTCTTTAGGAACCACCAGTACTACCCAAGGAGTACCAAGCTACAAATCACTGGATGTGTATCTGCAGATGCCACAATTACAGCAAATTGGATGGTAATTAATAGACAGCTTCTCCTATACTGCTTCACATGCTGAAACCACACATCTCAGCAATGCCGCAAGATAAGACAAAGATATGGAAGTGCTTTCCCCTATTGTTTTTTCTCTATAAGGAATTTTTATCCCTCCTAGTCCTCTCTTTGTTCCAAAAGAGGATTCATTTTCCTTGTGCTTTTTAGTTTTCTCCCCTTCTTCAGTCTTCTTCTTAGTGTTTCCCACAGTCACATCCAGGAATTGCAGCAGGCTTTGTTTTAAGTGCCAACTAAACAGCAGTTTAGAAGCCTGACACCACACAGCAAAGCAAAGGCTGCTGGCTACATCCCATTTCGTCTCTATTGAGTTTCTAACCCTAGGTTCAACTATGGAAAACAATCAGACAAATGTACAAAGATAGTGTAAACCACCTACATTTGCTGCTTTTTGTATCATCATGTGCAGGCAGGTTCAATTATTAAATTATTACAGATGTGTGGGAGTACATGCAATTATAGAAATATTCTTCTTGCACACTTCCTGTTTTAAGAACAGGACAACACACTACAAGTTATATAAAATAAAACGAGATTGGCTCTATTTAGGTCAGAGCCAGACTGACGTGGGACAACTGGGAGTTCAAGATAAAATCCACTACCCTGTAATTCATTCTTTAATACACCTGCTTAAGCTGGCATGAAAAGTGTGGTATAAGCAATATATAAATTTAGAGAACCTGATCACTATAAAGGAACATTATAAATATAGGAGAAAGCTTCAAATACTGACTAGACCAGTTATAATTACAGTAGAATAATCTACTACTGCCAGGAAATCAGGATTTTCCAAATTCTGCTATGCATCACCACTCTTCTGTTTCTTTCAGCTCCAACTTCTTTATATTAAAAGAAATATGAATACTGGCACTACATTTTCCACTACTTACTAAAAGAAAAAAAAAAAAAAAAGAAAAAGAAAAAGAACAGGCAAAACTGGTATGTTCTGAATATAGATATATTATCACCTGCTTGCAATGCAAACATACATTTAGATTCAAATACATTTTGACCACTGGATTGTACAGGAGTTAAATTAAGGTCACAGTGGTAAAATGCTCATGCTGATATATTTCAACACAAGATAACAGATAACTTTCAGAAGTCTATCCAGACCTCTCTAGAGGCCTGAAATTTAGTTTATTATAAACATAATGATAAATCTTGAGAACTTACTAAAAATCTAAGGGTGCTTCTGAAATTGTGTAGGCTCCATGCAAACTGTACTATTGAAAGTCTAATGTAATGTAGTGAAGCACATTACATCTATTACATCGATGTAATATGTAGCTGTTCTGGCCTACAGTGGTAATTTCCTTCAAAGCTTGTACATTTGATGTTACCTCCAGTTTTTCAACAGACACACTAGTAGAGACACAACATAACAATTTCTAATACACCCCTTCAATACACCCCTTCAATACACCCCTTCAACCAAATGACATAATACCCTCCAAAACTCCAGTAGGCTAGACACATAAAACTTTTGCTTGCTGACAGAGGTCTTTGGATATACTGGCTCATATTTCATCTGTGTGGTAGAGATACCGTATCCAGACTGTGAAACTGCATACTCCATACCTGAACCATGCCTTGCACAAAAGAGATTTCAGCATACAGTTGCTAAAGGGTAAGGGGTAACCTTATATGCTTGCTTCTGATCTGTCTTGCTTCCTTTTGTCATTAGGACTGTTAGATTAATTGCATGGTTTATTCCAGTATCAGCCAGATGTTACAAAACAGCTTCACTGAAAAAAGCACAGGAAACATTATGTCAAGCATTACACTTCTTGTCTGCTTAAGACTTCATAATGTTTTGGTTTCTAAGACATTATCAGATTAATACAATTAGTCTAGGATGCAGATGGTGC